GAGGTAAATCAAAGGGAACCAACTAGGAATTACCCATCTGCAAGGAAAAAGAGCACTCTGGCTCAGAAAAGGTAACTCCCTTCTAAGGAAAAATAAATAAACTGGTTGTAGGAGGAAAAACATCCCTTTTTCTCCACCTGTGGCCTAGGGATTGATAGGTCAGGAGGTATCTTGCCCAAGTCCTAGATCTGGGGAGTTGGTCACTCACTACTTCTGACCTCTGTGTTGTTTTTGCAATGAACCGACAACTCTCAATGCCTCTCAAGAAATGATGCTCTAGTTGTCCTGTCAAATATCTATATGGAGGGGCCAGGGATTTAGCTCAGTGGTTCCGCTGCCTGCCTCACAAGTGTAAGGACCCAAGTTCGATCCCCAGCACCAAAGAAAAAAAACCTATAGGGACAGGAGCCTGACATTCATTTTCCAATGTACAAACTGATGTAAACTATCTAGTATATATAAAAAGCTATAGCAGTCTTTTAATCCATTGGTACATAAACCTACACTTAATCTATACTATATTCAGAAGCAAAAAGCACTCAAAGCAAGGTTATTGTAAAGTTAGCAGAGCTATTATTAACAGTATGCCTTTTTCTGACAAAAAGCAATGTTAACTCCTCTAAGTGCCGGAAGAGATAAAAAAAATGCAAAAACCTAGTAATAAATGCTGGTATATAATACCAAATAAGCTTAGTGGAAAGAAACAGGAGACAAGTTTCAAAAACACAACAGCCTGAAATACCATACTGACTATACAGTACCTTACCAAGGCATAAAGTCTCAAATACATTTGAACAATTTCAAGCCCACAGACTGTTGCAACATATCATACATACAAAGAAAATGAAGGCTCATTGTCTTAACTTGATGCAGAGAGTGGGAGTGTAAGAGAACTAATAATCTACCACTCAAGGAATCAGTGAACTGAGTCATGGCACCAAAAAGATGTCACTGGAAAGGTGCTGATATAGCAAGGAACCGGCCCCTTGCTTTCTTGGTCCTCTGTTCTTTTTGCCCTTGATCAAAGAATTCAAGACACATAGATGTCCATGCAGTAGTGTAGGTAGAATTTATTATAAAGTAGATATATAGAGAGTTATGCCTTCAAGCAATAGGGTAGGAAGCGCTACAAAGGCACCTGCACCTAGTGTGTATGGAGATAATTTTTATGGACACAAAAGTTATTATTGGGGTTCAGGGAAATAGGGTAATTATGCTTATCATCATTTTACTTAGAAGTTACCTTGAAATTGAAAAGTGTCTTCCTGTCCTTTTTATATGTTTAGTGTTTCCTCAGGGGCTCTAATCATTTAAGAAACTTACAAAAGAAATTTATGAATGTTAAGTTTTTCATTTGAACCAGGTCTCAGCCCAAGGCAGGAGTGTCTTTAAAGAACATTTTCTTTCCTTTTCTGATATCATTGGGCTATGGAATCCAGGAATATTATATGCCTTGTTCTAGAAATAGAGGCCCTGTGTCTTTGGGTCTGACACCTAATAAATTATTATAAATGCATTATACATTGAGGCCTTTATTTCCTAACTATAACTGGCAAAGCATGCTATCATGGACTCCGTGTTTGTCTCTCAACTAATGTCTAACTGCCTGCCTAACACTTGGAGTTTATTCATGTGCATGGTGTGAGATATGGATTTAATTTTATCTTCTTCCGGATGTTTCCCAGTGGTCCCACCATTATGAAAAAGTCCACTTTGCCCCCGTGGTTTGAGATGCTACCTTTGTAATATGCACTATTATGACAGGTGATTTTGTCTAATTCTGGCTGTTAGATGCTAACATTGAAGGAAGCTGGATGAAGAAATAATAGAGCCCTCTGTATTGTTTTTGAAGTGCTTCTGTAAGCCTAAAATTTTCAAATTAAAAATTAAATACTGATTCTCACTCATGGTCCTTAGAGATTTGGATTTAATTGATCTTGGAGATAGCCTAGGTAGGGTTTTTAAATCCCTTCTGATGATTCTAATGCGCAACCAAAGTTGATACTCCCTGCCTTAAACTTATTCCTTCAATGGAAGGAAACTGGGAGATAGATGCTCCAAAACAGTAGAAGATTCTGAAAGTCATGTGCGATGTGCTCACACATGTATAAAAACATACATAGAAAAATAGGAAAGAAATGAATGAAAATGTTTCCAGTGGTTGCCCATGATTAATCTGCCTGCTGCCATGATGTCTATTTTACTTATTAATTTTTCTTTTCTTTTTTTACTTTTTAGTATTTTCTCTGTTTTCTATGGTCAGATAAAATTGTACTTGAAAAAAAGATTTTTTTTTAATTTGAAGCTTCCCATATAGGAACAGAAGTCTCAGTGTAGCCTGTCTGCCCATACTTTGGGGCTTTATTAAAACACTGGCCTCAAAGAACACCTAAAAGTCTTCAATTAAGAATTTGTAGCATTTTCGCAATACAAAGTAGAGGGACATGCTCAGTTAAGCTTAGTATCCCCCCGTAAGCTGGAGGATTGAGCCCTTCTTGAGAAATAGATTTTCTGGAAGCATCAGGACCACCACTCTCCAGGCAGCCCCTCTGACCCCCAATGCCTATCCATTCAGAGATATGTTAGGAAGAAAAAGCAGGACATAGAAAAGGGAGCAGAATGTGAATTCAATGTCTGGATAGGGTTTGATCCTTAACTAGCTGTGTATCCATGTTGGAGAGCAGGTGGGTTTGTTTCGTGTTTGTTTTTGTGGGTTTTTTTTTCCTTCAAACTCTCAGGTAAAATAAGGAAATTGAGATCTCTGTAAAATTAGGAAGTGGATTAGATCAGCACACCTCAAACATTCCTTATGCATATCACTCACTGAGCACCTGTTGAAATACATACTGTCATGTAACACAGCTGGGTCATGACTTGAAAGTCTGCATTTCCAGCAAGTTCTTATCTGAGGCCAATGCTTCTGTCCCCTGGATTCCACTTGCAAGACTGACAATCTAGACTGTAGATGAATACGTGGTTCTCAACCATGGGTACATGTTGGAATCATAAGAGGGAATTTTAGAGATACCAGTGGCTGTCTCCCACCCTCTAATATTGGTCTGGGGTGTGGCCTGGGCTTTTGAGCTGTTATAAACTGACAAGTAGGATAATTCTAATGTGCAGCCAAGTTTGAGAACTACTGGGCTAGAATTGGATCAGGATCTTTCTAGTATGTTGGTTCTTAAGATTAGCTGTAGGTTAGAAACACTTGGAGTACTTTGAAAAATGTACTGATGTATCAGAGTAGTCTTCTAGGGTACTAGAAACACTGTGTTTTGATCCATGTGGGTATTGCACAAATTTGTACTGGTATCTGTGTAAGAATTCATCAAACTGTGAACATAAGATGAGTTCACTTTGCTGTATGTAGGCCACATCTTTGGAAGGAAACGTGAATGATACCAATGTCTGTGTCCAAGGCTGAAGCCTGCAGTACAGCTGGTTGGGAGGCAAGCCCGGGCATTGATATATTGGGGGAGAGGGAGACACTTTTTTGTGGTTCTGGAGATTGAACCCAGGGCCTTTGCACTGAGATACATTCCCAGATCTTTTATTTTATTTTTGAGACAGGATCTTACTAGGTCACTAAGTTGTCCAGAAGACCCAAACTTGTGATCTTCCTACCTCAGGTTCCCAGAGTGCTGGGATCACAGGTGTACACCGCCAACCTGCTGGCTGGGCTGGACGCTTCTAAGACATACTGCTGCTGTGTACTGCCTTGTGTGCCTCCCACTGTGGGTGGTGGCCCCCACTAGCAAGAATGACAGGAAGAATCTTAGATAACCTCTTCATGACTGAGCCCAGAGGATGGAGGCCTGTATTGGGGGTTCTTGCTTCTGTGGGCTCCAGATAACCTGAAGAGTATTTAATTTACACTTTGCCAGATGAGTTACTATGGTATACATTTTAGAGAATGGAGGCTCACAGATGCATGTGAGTTGTCCGGAGGAGTAACAAGGCTTCTCAATTTATCATTTTGGCCTGTATGACACCCCTAAAGCTCAGGAGCTGTAGGGAGGCCTGTAGCCAAGCATGGTCCAGAGTAAACTAAGCCAGCATTTCTCTTTATGATTGTGACTTGGCTGAGGCCCCTCCGCCTAATATTCCTCACTTCCCTTGCCCAAGAGAAGCTCCAAGAACATATTCTCTTTGGTATTCAAAATCTTCATCTAACACTGGGTCCATTAGAGGCATCACTGGTTGATAATTTGTTGTCCCTTCTAGTTGCTTCTCCTAACATGTCCTGACTGTTAGGTACATTAAAGATGAATTCTTCTCAACCTCTGATGCCCAGGAAAATCACCTGAACATTTATAAAATATACATGCCCGAGACTCCTACACCCCATCCTAAGACCAGTTGAATTAGATACTGAGGAGTAGGCTACAAAAATCTATTTGCCTGCCAGTCTATATTTTTAAAAGTTCTCATGCATAGCTAAGGCTGAGAATCACTGAACTAAAGCAACATTGAGGCATAGCTGATTTACTAGGTGAGGACCACCCTTTGGCCCTAACTCCATCAATTTTCTCATTCAACCAACATTTCTTGGTCATTTACCATGTGCCAGTTACCACTGTGCTAGGCAATAGCATATGATATTGATTGAGACAGATTTCTAATATATGGAAACCAGTTAGGTCGTGGGGAATCTAACAGCTTCCTCCCCTTAAATCCATGGGAAGGTAAGAAGATTCCCTCCGTTGACTGATAAATAATAAAGCATAGAGCCTCAGAGCAGCAACAAACTGATGAACCAGAACTGGGGATTCCAAAAGAATGTTAGTTCCTCTCCCTGAAAGAAGGTGGTAGAAGTGGGCAGGGGCAGGGGCTAGTGGCAGGCACAGAGGGTATGAAATGGCAGAGACCCAGAGTGACAGTTCTCTGATATAACTCTGCTGTTGACTCAGTGGTGTCAGAAGGTGGCCAAAAGAAAGAGATTCATTCCTTTGTAACTCTTTTATGCCTTATGTGCATCTCTGTTTTTTTATTTCCTTCAGTGATCTGCAAGATTCCATTGACTGTCATGCTGATCATCCACATGGCCTACCATTTTCTTCTTCTAGCAAGCCTATCCCAGTTGTGCCTCAGTCCACCATCTTTTCCCAGATCTCCAGAGCCTTCTCTTTGACTAAACCCCTTGATCAGACCCCCGTGAGCCAGAACACTCCCTCTGTTACACTGAGGGGCCACTTTCCTTCTCCCCAGCCTTCAGCTCCCATACTTTCCAGCCCTGCCATTGATATACCTGCCCAATCTAGAACTGTCTCTTCCCTGCTTCCCCAAACTGATCTTTCTCACACCTCACCACCTGTGAAGCCCTCACTTCCTTCTCTCACCGTGTCTGCCCCTATGAATGATGTCATCATCAGCACAACCTCTGGAGAGACAGGTAAATAAGAGGAGTCAAACTGCTCCTTTAGTAGTTGGGGTTTTTAGCTACCTCAAAAAGATGTCATGATATGTGATAAGACCACATTGAGCCTGTCTTTTTCTGAAAGGGAAGACACATTTAGAAGACCTAAGCCACATGTCTCACAGCCAGCATGATGTGGGACAAGCAGTTTGGCTCTTTGAGCTAGCCCTGTAATATGTACAGGTGGAAATAATCCCTCCTAATGCCCTGGGTTAAAAAATTATGGTGTATGAGAGAATACCATGGAAACTGCCAAAGGCTCCCAGGTGCAAAAAGGCTTAGTGGTACAGAGATGAAGGGAAGGGAGGAAGAAGAGAATTCTGGATACTCTCTGGTGTTTCATCTCAGTGAATAGAAAGCAGTTCTTCCTCTAGAATTTGGAGGGTGCAAAGCAAAGCCAAGTTAAAATGGAGTTCAGACTGTGGTCCCTACCTCCTCCACCACGGTACCAGCATCCCCAGGGGATTCGGAGCTCCTGCCAAATGACTTGTTATTTCTTCCAATTTGCACTAATCTCTAATAAATAAGTTTTAATAAATATGGGCTTTTTATGGCAGATTTACAGAACCATTAGGGCTTGAGTCAAGGGAAGGTTCAGTGGTTAATAAAATGAAGAAAAATTGAAATGCATTAGTTTAGGCCTACTACAGTGCCCATCTTTCCAAAACTGTTCCAATTGACTGTTAGAAACAACATAATGGGCCCTGCAAAGAAGTATCAAGGGGGCCTCCTGCATCTATGCTGCTACTCCTAGGACAACAGAAGCAAAACAACAAAATGTGTAAAAGATGCACACTGGAACATTACCAGGGAGCTATAAAGTTGATAAAACAAAGATTCCCTAGGAGAGGAATGGTTAGGTAAGATATGCTGCCTCAGCACAATAACTATTATACAGCCATGTAAGTCATTAGAACAGCTATACAGATACTTAAGGGCATTTTTTTAAGTGTTGATGTGAAGTACAAACAATCACAGCATACCCCATACTCCTGTCCTCCCTTCACCCCCTCCCCCCTCCCCTATTTACAGATGGCCAAGTTTTCTTAAGACATGTTTTCTTTTCTCCGGGGCAGATACATAGGAGTGTGTTGGCCAGATCATGGGGTCTATGTGAGTTTATCTTTATTAGTGATTCTTTTCCCATCATGTGTTCATGAAATGATTTGGCTCTTTGATACAGAAGTTGTCGACGCCAACACTGTTTCTGATCTTGAGAGCCAAGTGTCCCAGATGGAGCAGGCTCTGTCCTTAGGCAGCTTGGAGCCTAACCTCGCAGGTGAAATGATAAACCAAGTCAGCAAACTCCTTCATAACCCGCCTGCCTTGCTGGCCCCTCTGGCTCAAAGGTATGACTTAGCAAACTGAGGAGGTGCTGAGAGGGGACCTTTAATTCTAAAGATGCTGCTTGTGTGATTAGTTAAAGCCAAGCATTTTTCTTCCAAGGACTGATTTCATAATGACTTCTCAAGTTGCTACTCTATATTCTGCTTGAATGGGGAAGAAAAAGTGAGAAAGAAGAAAGAAAGAAAAAAAAAACAAGAGTGCTAAATTTAAAGTACCACCTATCTTTACAGGTTGCTAAAAGTAGTTGATGACATTGGCTTACAGCTGAATTTTTCAAGCAAGACCATAAGTTTAACCTCCCCTTCTTTGGCTCTGGCTGTGATCAGAGTGAATGCCAGTGATTTCAATACAACTACTTTTGCGGCCCAAGACCCTGCAAATCTTCAGGTACAATCTGATTTCTTATGGGGGGAAAACATTGTCTCGTGTATGATTATAGCCCCTGTTGTACTTCCAGGTTGAGGTAATTCCTGCTGATCATCAGGGTGATATTTAAAATATTTAACATCCAGAACAGTGGCTGAGGCACCACGGAATGAATGGGAAAACACTTGCCTAGCACTTTGGATGCTGGCATCCAGTCCACAGCACCACACAAAAGAAAATCAAAATGACATTGGCCTTGGCTGGAGTGGAATGTCACAGGTTCCCATTGTGCCCTGTTAACCCTTTAGCAGCTGGATTTTGGAAGCTTTGGGAGTGTTTTTAGGAGACCAGGGTGATCTTCAGGGGAGGATGCTAGACAGTTGGGAGAGCTAGGCAAGGTGGTCAATCAGCTACTTATCAACCATTTGAATATTTTGACAAGGGTTTTAACTACATTGTTGTATTTAGTGGTGCTGAAAATCAATCCTGCTTTTAGTGTTTTCTCTCCACTTACTAAAGGGATTGAGGATTGGAAAACCCCAAATAAAACCATGTTTTACTTTTTAATTTTCATAGTCTCTCCTTTACAAGTGTAGAGCATGGGGTTCTATGAAGACTTTACCCTCAGTGATGCTCACTAGCTTGGTACGTCTGCTGCTGGGGTCTCCCTGGGATCTGTCATTTTTACTATTTTTGACCATTACTTTTTTACTATTTCTGTGTATGCCTAAGATGATTCCTTTCCTCCTTGGAAACCTCATCTCCTTATTTCACATCCTCTTAAGTAACAACCAGAGAGATAGAAGTAGAAGCCCTGTTACACGGAAGTACCACAGATCATGACCTTCAAAGACCCTCCGTCTTAGTTGTGCTTTCCATTTCCTCATTATACCAGCTCCAGACAGTTTTTTCTCACTTGGTTTTTCAGGTTTCTTTGGAAACTCAGGCTCCTGAAAATAGTATTGGTGTTATCACTCTGCCTTCATCGCTGATGAGTAATTTGCCAGCTAATGATGTGGAGCTGGCTTCCAGGGTTCAGTTCAATTTTTTTGAAACGCCAGCTCTATTTCAGGTAAAGTTACTGCTCATTATTTTTGGTTGAGGTTTGTTTGCAGGTGAGGGGATTTGATTCCTTTTAATGCTAGCATATTCTTAAGATTGTCACAAGTCAAATGAATTGATGAAACTTTGCAACTATTTTATTCACAGCTTGATGATGCTGGCGATGATAACTAACAATAACTAACACATATTATTTACCATTTGCTAAGCACTGTCCTAAGCACTTATAAATATTGCTCTGATCCTCTTAACGATCCTGTGAGGGAAGAACTATTTTTACCCCATTTTATAGATGAGGCAAATGGAGGCTCAGAAAAGTTAAGTAACTTGCTCAGGGTCACACAGTCTAAGTGGATTAATGTTATGTTTCCTTCAAAGATTCACGAGATCCTGTTGTGTCAGTCTGTGCAATTTAACTTGGTATTTAGAGCATTATAGTAGAATAAGTTCTGCTTTAATTGTGGTCCCTTGGGAAAGCCACTTTACTCCCTGACACTCAATTTCTGACCTATGTGGTAAAATAAATAGTGTGGACTAAATAGTTCTTAGTTGCCCTTCTAGCTTTAAAACTAATGGTATTTCATTTTCCCTTCTCATATTGCTGATTCTTTGGTATGCTAGGATCCTTCCCTGGAGAACATCTCTCTGGTCAGCTATGTCATATCATCAAGTGTTGCAAACCTGACTGTCAAGAACTTGACAAGAAACGTGACCGTCACATTGAGGCACATCGAACTGAGCCAGGTGAGCAGAAGCCAGTCTGCTCACTGACCAGGAATGCCTTGTGCAAACTGTGCCTGTGAAACATGGCTTGGGAAGGGCAGATCTAGCAGACAGAACCTTGAACTCATTGGAGTAATGTGTAAGACTAGAATCATCTTGTCACTCGTAGGTTTTTAACATGCCTAGTAATTGATCACCTGATTTCCAAGAAGGATTGGTGCAAAAGCAAGTTGTTATCAACTGCTAGATTTCAGTGTGTGTGGATCTGTAGCTGCCGGTCTGATTCTCACCTCCAAAGAGGGACCCTCTCTCAGTTCCATTCACATCGAGCTTCAGCTATAACCTCGCTTCTCACAGTGTGCTCTGCAGACCCACAACATCAGTGTCACCTAGGACTTGGCTATAAATGTAGCCTCTTAGGCCATGCCCCAGACTCACTGAGTCACAGTGTGTCTCTTAACAAGGCTCCAAGGTGATTCCTATGCACAGCTGATAGATTTAAGGAGCATTGACCTCTATGGGGCTCACTTACCTTTAGGACTATATAAAATGTAAGTCTCCAAAATCAAACATAAGATTCTGAAATTTAAAATACTATAGTTTTTTCTAATTGCCTTTCAGTTTTTCAGGTCAGTGTATTAATTAATTGTGACTTGTCATTCTCCTGCAGGATGATTTAACAGTGAGATGTGTATTTTGGGACTTGGGCAGAAATGGTAGGTTCCAGCCAAAACCTTTCTGAGATCTTGAGTGGGTGAGTGGGTGAGTGGGAGAAGCAGGGAGTCACTGGTGCTGTGGTCTTGCTGATGGGATATTATTCTCAATGCCAACAGGTGGCAAAGGAGGCTGGTCATCCGATGGCTGCTCTGTCAAAGTCAGGAGGCTGAATGAAACCATCTGTACTTGCAGCCACCTTACAAGCTTTGGCGTCCTCTTGGTAACATGCCTGTGCTCCATGGCCTTTTGGATTCTGGGTCTGAGGGGTAGCTGGGCATCGTATCAGAATACCTAATCTAATGGATGACTTGAAAAGATGATTAAAAGAGTATAATACTACGGCAAAGTTATACACCAATGAGATTCCTCTTCTGATAAGTGAATGCATCTGAAAGAAAGTATTTGAATATGGAATACGAATTTTATTAGCTTTTTTGACTCTAGGAAAAATTACCTGACACCCACAACTTAAAGGTCAGAACATCATGGCAGAAGGACATGGTAGAGGAAAGATGCTCACTTTAAGCAGAGCTGGGAGCAACATCAGAGAGGAAAGGGACCAGGGACTTTGAATAGTCTCCAAAGCCGTGCCTCTGTGACCCATTCAGCCACACCCCAAGGTGTCTGTCACTACTCTCCTAGGCATTTCTTAATACAGTCAAGTTGACAGATTAATGGTCAAGAATTGCTTCACATCATCTTTTCACATTTAAGTTTTTCTTTCAAAGGGCTAAAAGGATGAAGGAGTTCAAATTAGAATGAGTGATGAAAACTGTTTAGTTTATAATGTATTTTAAAACGTCCACAAAAAGTTTCACATAAATGATCTTATTTAATCTTCCCAGTAGTCCTGAAGAGTGGGACAGTGTTGTCATTTTATTGAAATTAGAAGTCAGACTCACAATTGCCCACAGTCACAGAAGTCAGAGATATAAGAGCCAGAAGCCAAATGCCAGTCTGTCAGCTCATACTCCAGTACTTTTCCTATACACTAAAGAGCAGTGATCAAGTACATGGGTTTGGAGTCAGACAGACATGAATATGAACCTGATTCTTCCACTTCTTAGGTGTATGCTCATAGGCAAATTATATAACCTCTCTGGGTCTCATTTTGCCTATCTTTGTCGGATGATAATTGTGCCAGCCTCCTTAGGTTGGTTGAACAGACTGAATGGGTACTTAGAACATTCAATAAACATAAATCATGAGTTCTACTTTTTAAAAAATATTTTATCATTGAAATAAATATTTTATTTTCCAGGACTTATCTCGGGCATCCTTACCGCCTGGTCAAATGATGGCTCTGACATTTATCACATATATTGGATGTGGGCTTTCATCAATTTTTCTATCAGTTACTCTTGTCACCTACATAGCCTTTGAGTGAGTATCCATAACTGGAAATTTGGATTATAGAACCCATTGCTCACCTCCATCTCTAGAATTTAAGTGCTTTCCTTGACTTGCCCCTACTCCCCGTACTCCCACCTAGTGGAGCACCTAGGTAGGAAACTTTATGTGGCTTCCTGGCTTCTGTGCTTGCTATTCAGTGAGCTTGGTGAAAGCAAGAGTTGTATTTTGGTCATCTCTGTACTCCAGAGTGATGCCTAGTACCTAGTTCATATTCAGCATGAAATAAATGAAAGGTACAGATCCTGAAATCCAAGAGCTTATGGTCTGAAATAGACCATAGCACCATGTAGAGTGGAACTATTAATAAGATAAATTATACTTAGAAAACACAAAAGGTTAAATATATTAAATGGCACAGGGATGAAGAAGGGTGTAAAATCTCACTGCAAAAAATAGATACTCAGTGAATGTGGCTTTGTATATCACAAAGCAAGAATGACATTCCAAATAAGAGCATCTCCTAGGCTTATCAGAGGGGTTCATCTGGTCACTTTTTATGGGGAATTCTGACACATTCTATTAAAAAAGAAAGAATTAGGCATTTTATTACATTAACTAAATGGGACAATATGTAGATTCTGGGGTTACATTATGAACACTGATTGGGAAATGTACAAATTTATTTTCAGTGCCAAACTAAGATACAGCTATTACTATAGATATCTAGTGGACCTTTGGAAATATGGTTAGTGAGACTAAATTACCATAAGGCTAACCATAACTCAGAATGTTTCACTAGATCTAACTTTGTACACATAAACATGTACATGTCATCAATTAGCTGTATTTTTCCTTTGCTGCTACATTTAGCTATAATTTAAACTCTTTGCATAATCTTATTTTAATTAATAATATAATATGGGAATCTGGCCATATTTTGAAGTTCTGAGTGTAGCAGCTCATTATATGAGAAGCAGCAGCAATGCTTCCAGAAGCAGCTTAGGAGAAGTGGGGTGGTTAGCTTACTACAAACTATTTAAGAGTATGGGTCAATAGTCAATATGCAAACGATCCCATAGAAATATAAATACAAATTTTTTCCATATGGTTATCATAGATGAGTCTATTTAGAGTTCTCCTTAGTTTTTGGTTTTAATGTGCTCCCAATACAATACCTACTTCATAGGAATTTTATGTATATAAGACATTTACCAAAGAATAAAAATAAATTACCTAGAACTCAGAGATAGACTGACAAATATGCTTATGTAAGGGTTGGCCAAAAGTAATGCTAGCTCTTTTCTTGCCTTTTCCTATTAGAAAGATCCGGAGGGATTACCCTTCCAAAATCCTCATCCAGCTGTGTGCTGCCCTCCTCCTGCTGAACCTGGTCTTCCTCCTGGACTCATGGATTGCCCTGTATAACACACGAGGCCTCTGCATCTCAGTGGCTGCATTTCTTCACTATTTTCTCTTGGTCTCATTTACATGGATGGGCCTGGAAGCATTCCATATGTACCTGGCCCTTGTCAAAGTGTTTAATACTTACATCCGAAAATACATCCTTAAATTCTGCATTATCGGCTGGGGTATGTATATATTTGCTTGCACATTGCTCGGACTTTTTCTTCAGTGTTTTGATGTTTAATCAAGTAGAGAGGCATGATGAAGCAAGTCACTCTTTGACAAATTTCAAAAATACTGTTATGCTATTTACTGGCTGCAGTGCTCACAGTACAATCTTTTCTAATCTTTTTCTAGAACACTGTATTTTCTCTTTTTTTGTTTTGTTTTGGTTTGGTTTTGGTTTTGGTTTTTTGTTTTTTTTTTTGTTTTTTTTTTTTGTTTTTTTTTTTTA